ATGGGGTTAAGTGACTTGCCCAGGGTCACACAGCTAGTAAGTGTTCTGTGTCTGAGGCTGGATTTGAACTCAGGTCCTCCTGAGGGACTGGTGGATTTAAAAATCATACTTAGGTAAGTCCCATAGTGGGATAACATTAATAGTTATGAGATCACAAGACCACAGACTTTAGAGCTGGAAGAAATGTTAAATGCCATCAAATCCAACTCTTCATTTTACAGATGAGGAGACTGAGGCCCAGAGACATTAAATGACTTGGTCACATTGCTGATAAGCACGAGGCAGGATTTAAATCCAAGAAATAAGCACAAAATTTGTGAATTTATAAAAGGGAATGCTTCAATGAAATTTTATTGTGTAAATATTTATGGCTTTATTTATTTATATTTTATCAAAAGAAAGACAGCATGACGGAGTGGGTTGGCCTTGGTTTTTGATGGCATATAATGATAGCCACAATGTTCCAATTCATATTTAGTATTTTCTAATTTTTTTTTTTGTGACAAGACATGTGATCTAATTGGAGTAGGGAACTCCTAGTATGGAAACCCCTTTTATTAATGCAGATCAACAACTGTTCTGTAATTTATAGCCTTAGAGAATAGAATGGGGACACCAAGACATTAGGGACCTAAAGTCCCTATGTATCAGAGGGTTCAACCCAGGTCTTCCTGGCTCTAAGCCAACTCTCTATTCAATATGTCATGTTGCCTCTCCATAGACTCTAATATTTTTCTGTAGTTGAAGATGACTTTCAAAAAAAAAATCAAACACTCTTTCACTATAAAAGATAGTCATAGTGTGCTATTGTAAACAAGCCAATCAGAGCTTTTCCTTTCTAATAGTTTGCATAGAGCAGATCATGATTTTCCTCTTTGGAATTATTTGATAGTATTAACTTGGCCAGTATTTTAGGGCATTGCAACTGATTTACTCCTGTTGAGGGTTTCCTTATAAGCCAGTAATAGCCTGATGAGAATCTTACAATCACAGATTCAGATCAGAAAGGAATCTCAGAGTCCATTTGATCCAACTCTGTCATTTTACAGGTGAAGGAACTGAGTTCCTGAGAGGTTAAGTAACTAGCAGAAGGTCATATAGTAGTTAAGAAACTGAGCTAGGATTCAAACTCAGGCTCTCCACTCTTTCTGTTATAGTTTTCAGCGTTAATTGAAAAAATGCTTTTGTGTTTTCTACAAACTCTGTTACAGAACAATTTATGAAAAGTCATCTTATGTTCAACTCAGATAATGTTTGCAAAGGACTCTTTAAGCTTTAAATCTCTCTGTGTTTCGTTTTTTTAGTCGTGTCCGATTCTTCATGACCCCATTTGGGAGTTTTCTTGGCAAAGATAATGGAGTGATTTGCATTTCTTTCTCTGGCTCATTTCACTGATGAGGAACAGAGGCAAACAGAATCAAGTGACTTGCCCAGGGTCACACAGCTAGTAAATATCTGAGGCTAGAGTTGAACTCATGAAGATGAGTCTTCCAGTGCTCTATCCACTGTGCTGCCTGAATCTCTTCCATAAGTGTCAGTTATTATTATTGTTTATATATTATATATATGTTATATGTTATATTATTATATATTGTCATTATTATTACAGCATTACTATCTGGTGGCCCTTGAATAATTGACGCAATTGCTTAACATATTTCATAAGAAGACACTAGTTCCTCAGAAGATTATGATGTAGGCCAATAACAACAATGTCAATAATAATAATAATAATAATAATGAGCTTGCATCCTAATACTTTCACTCAATTGTGAAAATCAATTATTTTATACACCCTCCTAACTGTTCATTGAACAGTAAAGATGAAAGACAGTGGTAGTATTGTGACTTGTCCTAGGACCATTTTTAACTGAATTTCATCCAACATAAAGATGAGAAGACTAAAATAATAATGATGATGATGATGATAAATGTCATATATGTGTATATGTGTAGGCATATAGAAATATAGACTTAAGAGAGGAGATCAAAATCAGTTGTGAACAGGCTGATATGTACATCATCTCTGTTGTTCTGTCTGTTACTGGCATTATTATCAAAGATTACTTCATGGACCCTACAGAGGATGAGCTTAATTTAAAATTTTTATTCAAAATATGCCAAAATTTGGGGCAGTGGATAGAGCACTGGTCCTGGAGTCAGGAGGACCTGAGTTCAAATCTGGCCTCAGACCAGACACTTGACCCTGTGTGACCCAAGGCACATCACTTAACCCCATTGCCTAGCCCCCACCCAAAAAAAAAAGGCGCTTGTAACTCCAATTGCCTCACCAAAAAAAAAAAGTCACTATACAAAATATACCAAAATTAGTCATTTGTGTAAGAGTTCACAGAACATTATATTTAAAACAATAATATTGGGATAGTGGCTTATTCAGGATCATTTCTATCTAAACTTCATTGAAAAAAGTGGGAACAGAATACTTTTATTACCACTAGTACTGCTGCTCCTGCTGCTATTACTACTGCCAATATTGTAAGCATCTGTTATTGTCCATGCTGGGAGTTCTTCCTCTTTTGTAGAATACAGCCTATACTTTAGAATTTGAGCGCATTGCCTGAATCTTGGAGAAATGGCTTGCTTGAGGTCACACAACTAGTTAGTGTCAGATATGGGGTTTGAGCTGAGGCCTTCCTAACTCTAAGTCTGGCAATCAATCCACGATGCTTCCAACGGTAATAACAATAGCTCACATTTAGAGAATGACGTATGGTTTTCGAAGTTCTTTCCTCAACTTCATTTAAAAAAAAAAGTCAGTTAACAAGCATTTATTTTCTCTCTCATCTGTCATTGACCAATAACAACAAAAAGAGAAAATTTAAACCTGTATAACAAATATGCATAGACAAGCAAAACAATTTCCCGTATTGGCCATGCCCCAAAATGTATGTTTCATTCCACATTTTAAGTCCACTACCTCTCTGTCAGGAGAAGGGTTGTCTCCTTCCCCTTCAGTCTTCTGGAATCAGTCTTTCAATATATTGATCAGAATTTTCAAGTCTTTCAAGGTTGTTTTTCTTTATGATATATTTATGTAAAGTCTTTTAATTTCTTTATAATGTATACTTTGCATCACTTCATAGAGGTCTCCATTTCCTTTATAACTGTCCCTTTTTATAATTTTTCTAATAGCACAATAATATTCCATTGCATTTCCATGCCATAACTCATTTAACTCTTCCCCAATAGGTGAACACCCTGTTAATTTCTAGTTTTTTTGTTACTATTACAAGATCTGCTACAAATATTTTTGTGCATATGAGTCCTTTTCCTATTTCTTTAATCTCTTTAGGGTATATGCCTACTAGTGGTATTGCTAGGTGAAAGGGTGTGCATAATCTTAGTGATTTAGGGGGTGTAATTTCAAATTACTTTCTAGAATTGTTGGAGCAATGCACAATTCTTCCAACAGTGCATTGGTGTGCCTGTTTTCCCACAGCCCCTCCAACAGTTGTCATTTTCACCAAATCTGAGATGGGAATCTCAAGTTGCTTTAATTTGCATTATCTATAATTATTAGTGATTTGAAATGTTTTTATATGGTTTTAGCTTTTTTTAATTAAGAAACCAACTCACCCCCTTCCATCACTCCTAACCTAATTTGCTTGCTCTCTAGTATTTATTAGAAGCAAATGATTTTTGCAAATCCCTTGAGAGGCTACCTAAGAAAGGTTTCAGTATACCTCAGACCTCCTTCTGTAGGATCTTCTATATCTCCCTCTATATAATTATATTAACTGATATTTTACATTTTAGAACCTAGTGAAGCATTCTGCTAACTAGTACCCATGATAGCTTGATGTAGATTGAATAACACATCACGTTTCTTCTTTTCTTCTGATTAAAAGCATTTGTTTACTGGTTACGATATTAATTTATGGCAACATATTTTGCTGAGTCACTGTACAAATATGAAGATCAAATCCATTGGAAAAGCTATAAACAGAAGTTCATAGCAAGTGACCATTTTCACAGGGAAGTCATTGATGCAAAGCGCTGTTGGAGAAAACACATCACATTTCTATAGGACTTTAAGATTTACAAATCACTTCCTCCACAACAACCTTGTGGGGGTAAATTGGAAAAGTATTATTATCCCTATTTTGTAGATGAGGAAACTGAAGGCACTGCCTTGGAGTCCCAGGACCCCAGGTCACATCCCACCTTTGCCACTTACTCCCTTGGGGAAGTCTCTTCTCTATGTCTCAGTTTCCTCATTTGTAAAATAAGGCCTTTCAGGTTCCAGTTCTAGATCCATATGCTATCTATGCTATTGATGATCCTATGAATTTGACTTACCCAGGGTCACTAATAAGTAGTCACCAGCTAGTAAGTATCAGCACTTAGACTTGACATCCTAGTTCTTCTGATGTTGAGACCAGAGTTTTTAACCTTACACCACAGCTGCCTTGAGGAAATCTGATTTTTAATATATTCTCTTTGGGCATATTAACACTAAGCTAGCCAGTTATGTTACAGGGTTATCAGTGAGAATCTCATGTTGAAAAAAAAAAGAGTAGAAGGTCAGCTTAGACTCATTTTCTTGCCTTGCCCTGGCCTATAACCTTTGCAATTTCTCTTTCTGCACCACTCCCTTGGAAACCAAAAGAACTAACTGCATGGATTGATTTATGGTTATGTGACCAGTCTCTTTAAGGTTATCTACATCATGTAGCCATTCTATTCAGAGGGGGAAGATTCCTGGGGATGGAAAATATTCTTCATGCCTATCACGGAGAGAGGGAAGCCTGAATTTTGGATGTCTGTTTGGGGGTAGCTAACTATCTGTTGAAACTTTGGGTCACATTTTATTTTATTCTGTTAGTGTTTCCTGAACCAATTTCCATCCAGTTTTCCAACAAAAGTATGGAAAGTCCATCCTAGCCATTAAAAAAACCCCAAGAAACCTTGCACTAAGCTCATCTGTTACTCTTTAGCATCATCAGGAAAAATTAACCCAGCTGTTCTCTACTTTTCAGATATGACTGAAGAGCGCCTAGGAGACAGCAGTGCAGCCGACAGTACCGAGGTCTACAGTGACAAAGACGCAGACCAGAGGAGCTCCCCAGATGTGACAAAAAGTAAAAATTGCTTCACCCCAGAGAGCCCAGAAATCGTGTCAGTGGATGAAGGTGGCTATGCCATTCAGAAAAATGGCAGCACCACTGAGAGCCGGCCTGATAGTCCCAAGTACCATTCTGAGCAAAATCACCTCCTGATTGAAGGTCCATCGGGAACTGTTTCTCTGCCGTTTAGCCTGAAAGCCAACAGGCCGCCCTTGGAAGTGTTAAAAAAAATATTCCCCAACCAGAAGCCAACGGTGCTTGAGCTGATTCTGAAGGGCTGCGGGGGCGACCTAGTGAGTGCGGTCGAGGTCCTCTTATCCAGCAGGTCATCAGTCACTGGAGGGGACCGAACTTCTGCTGAATCGGAAAGTCTTGTTTTGCCTTCCAACGGGCACATTTTTGAGCACACGTTGAGTTCCTACCCCATCTCCTCTTCCAAGTGGTCTGTGGGGTCTGCCTTTAGAGTTCCTGACACACTGAGGTTTTCCACCGATTCTAGCAATGTAGTGCCCAATCCTTTGGCGGTCCCCTTGCAGCACCCCTTTCCCCAGCCGCCCCGGTACCCCTTGATGCTGAGGAATACTTTGGCAAGAAATCAGTCCAGCCCCTTTTTGCCCAATGATGTCACCTTGTGGAATACCATGACTCTGCAGCAACAATACCAGCTGAGGTCCCAGTACGTCAGTCCTTTCTCCAGTAACTCTACCAGTGTCTTCCGGAGTTCGCCTGTCCTCCCCACTCGCACGCCTGAAGATCCTCGGATCTCAGTCCCCGATGATGGATGTCCGATTGTGTCAAAGCAGCCTATTTACACAGAGGATGACTATGATGAAAGGTCTGATTCCTCAGACTCTAGAATACTCAATACGTCCTCCTAAAGTGGTGCCTGACAGGTGATTAACTAAATGGTATTTACAGTGCGTTTGAACTCTTGGGCGCCAGGAAGAGGGAAGCATACTGTCCAACGCTCCTTTAATTATGTGACTTTGCTTGATACTATACCTTAGCAATAAAAACATAATTTATTTAATTTCTTGCACTTCACTGGAAAATGCCAAAAAGCTATGTTCTGTGGCTTTAGTGCTATATGTTGATTGTAAAGGAGATTCTAATGCTAAGTAAGAATAGGCATGGGAAAGCTGGGACTGTGGAAGATTTAGAGTGGGATGGAAAAGTCCCTTTCCCCTTAACTCAGACAACCTGGAATGTTAAATTAAATAATATACTTGAATGCAATTTTGTAAGAGAGGATTCCTCAGGACATAAGGCACGGAAAGAAAGTGGTTCAGTCACAAATGGACTTAACAGGAACATTATATTCTTATGCTAAAAATCATTCTTGCTTTTAAAAGAGAGACTGCACTTGAGAATAGAGTTAACTGCTTATGTGCTAATTTAAGCTTTGGACACTTTTTAGAGACAAACACTATTAAGAATTATTCTTTTCACATGGCTAGATCAAAACATGTGTAATGTCGATGTAAAACCAATTAAAGCTGTGGATTGCATGAACTGTATTGTGAAATGAACACAAGATTAAGCATTGTCAGGTTAATGTAGCATGCTAAGGACTCTAGAAAAAATAAACTAAGGAGATGATCTCGGTTTATGTCGTTTATACCTGTGGGAAGTACATCTCTAAACATAGGAACTTGCTTTAAAAGGACATGCCCAGTTAACAGTGTAGGGAAAGGAATGAATGCTAGTATGAATTCAGTGAGATATTGCCTGGAAATTATGAAGAACAGAGTTGAGGGCTACAGTAAGAAAAGCAGAGAATTAGGATTTCCTTCCTCCCTCCTTCCTTTCCTTCTTCCCTCCCTCCTTTCCTTCCTTCCTTCCTTCCCTCCCTCCTTTCCTTCCTTCCTTCCTTCCTTCCTTCCTTCCTTCCTTCCTTCCTTCCTTCCTTCCTTCCTTCCTTCCTTCCTTCCTTCCTTCCTTCCTTCCTTCCTTCCTTCCTTCCTTCCTTTCCTTTCCTTTCTCCTTTCATCAAAAATCATTCATTTAAAGTCTCCTAAGTACAAAGTATATACACATGGTTTCCCCTACCACAAAAGGCACTCAATAAATGCTTGTTGACTGACTGGGTTTGTTAAAGGGAATCCCTTACAAAACAAGCAACTCATTCTTTACAAGTGGGTTTGTCCATAACTCAAGCTACAGGTCAACCAAGCAGGACATAGACTCACAGAAAGTTGAGTTCCAAGAAATCTTAGATCATTCGTCCAGGAGTTCTTCACCTTTTTGTGATGATGGACCCCTTTGGCAGTCTGATAAAGCCTATGGACCGATTTTCAGAAGAACATTTTTTAAGTGCATGAAATAAAATGTATTGAGTTACAAAGGAATTATATAAAAATTATATTGAAATATCATTATCAAAATATTTAATATGTTCACATAACCCAGGCTAAGAACCCCTGATCTAGCCCAACCTCCTTATTGTACAGATGAGTTAAACTAAGGTCCAGAGAAAGAAGGAGATTTGCCCAAGGTCACAGATAGTAAGTTGCAGAGACAGGACTCAAACTTAAAGCTTCTGACAGTATGTCTAATGTCTTTTTACTACATCATGATATTATCTGGAACTGTTGATCTTTGGGGGAGCCATGAGATGAGCCCAGCACCTCAGTTTCAGGACTATGAAAGTTTATCACACTGAGAGATTGTTTGCTTGTGTATGTGTGTGTGTTTATGTATATGGATGAGGAAGGCACCCATCACATTGGGTAGTACTCCATGGTGAACTTACAGGAGAACTGGATGGGAAGGCACGGATGAGTGGTGATCTATACCATTGGAGGGAATACCTATACTGGTGAGACCACAGCTCCATTTGTATATCTGAATATTGGAGAATGTGTTTGCGTGAAACCTTGACTGCCCAGATATTTTAAAAATGGAATTTTCAAGAAATTAGGTTCAGCAAAGCCCATACCAACAGTGTTTCCATCTTTTAGATGAGGGCTTAAAATCTTTTTTGGGTGTCATAGACCCTTTTGACAGTTTGATGAAGCCCATGAACTCTTCTTGGAATAATGTTTTTAAATAGTTGAAGAAAATGCTAAATTTCAGTTAAAGGTTAGTGGAAATAAAATTGAATACTTTTTTTCCTATCCAAACTTACAGACCTCATGAAAATTATCAACATCAAGGTGGCCGTGGAGGAGAAGGGCAAAATCCTACCTGAGCCCTCTGTTGCAATCTCTGCAAATAAGGATATTTTTCTCTTTCTCTTCAAAATATGGTAAAAGCTTTGTTATCAGGACTGCTGGAGGAATAGGGGTATGTTGAAAGGCAGCATAGTATAGTAGAAGCAGTGTCATCCTTGTTAGGAGATGGTGACAGATTCAGCGTCAGCCCACAAACAGTTGATCAGAGGTGGAGTGGAAGGCAGTCGGAGGAGATCTTTCAGGATCAAGAAGAATGGTTCTTTATTATGTTGGTATACATAACATTAGTTATGGAAAAGAAAAATTTAGAACAAAAAGGAACTGTTTTCTGTTTGATACCTTTGAAACAAGAAATCTTTGAGAAAATAAATAAAAGACCTCCTAATTGCTTGCTCTAATGCTCTCAATGAATTGTTCCATTTAACTAAGACACACATCTATCTCTGAAAGTTGAAAGGCAAATACTTTTCCTTATTTCGAGGATAATATTGATATATCACTGTTCAAGTTTACTTGGACCAGATCCTAATGACCAAAGTTCCATTTATTTTGTGTAGCTGCTAAATATCTCAGATTCACTGAATTTTAGAATTATAAAGCACTGCAGAAGCCATCTAGTCCAAGCTGCAAAACACTGTCTGTCAATAAGAGAGGGAGTTTTCCTACATCTCTCGCTAATTTCTTGGCCTGCCTGCAAAACGAACATGCCAGAGGTATACGTATGTGAAAAGGGAATTCGTTTTCTGCTTTAAATAATTTGCATATTTCTTTGACATGGAACTTTGATGGTGGATCAAGAATTAGCTACCGGTATTTAAAGGTGTAAAATGTAGAATGGACATTTTTCTTAGTTACAGGGCTTTTGAACTTGTATTCTTCTCAGTCATAGGGTTTGTGAACTTGTTTAAAAAAACTTTTTTATGATAATTTATTTCAATATAATTGGCTTAATTTGTAATCTTATGTATTTTAGTTGATTAAAAACAATATTCTGATGGGCCCATATATTTCACCAGACTGAGAAAAGAATCCAGGACACCAACGGTAAGAACCCCTGCTCTGAGACAAATTTTACTAAATTGAAAAACAATTAAGTTGTTGCATCTGGCTTCCTTTAAAAGTTGATTTGGATCAACAGGTGGTCAATATTATTGACCATCATTGAAAAAGACAAAAAAAAAAAGGGCAGCTAGTTGATACAGTGGATAGAGCTCTGGCCTTGGAGTCAGGAGAACCTGAATTCAAATGTGACCTCAGATACTTGACACTTACTAGCTGTGTGACCCTGGGCAAGTCACTTAACCCTGATTGCCTCACCAAAAACCAAAAACCGAAAAACAACAATAAGAAGACAAAAAAACCCCCAACTGTTAGAGAAATAACTGATTAGTGGCTGCCCCCTGTATATCTTTAATCTCAATATTTAATTGACCAAAGGAAAACATTTCTTACTCATTCTATTAAAAGAAAATGATCCATGTGAAAGAAAAAAGATATTAGAATCCCAATGCTTCCATGCTGGTAGCTCTAACACTCTATCTCAGTCCAGAGGGAGCAGCACCTCTTTGATTTCATCTTGGCTCTCCATACCTCTAATTAGATAAAGGTGTGTTGAGGCCACGTAAAAGGAACATCTCCCATTGTTCCGTTCCTCCCAGTGTACATTTTCAATTGATGGTCCTCCTCCATAGAATCTTAGAATGTTAGCACTGGACTTGAGAGATGATTAGCTCAGCCCCTTCATTTTACAGTTAAGGAAAATGAGGCTTAGAGAGGAGAAATAACTTGATGCCATGGCTGTTGAACCTGTTCATGGAAAATGAAAAATGATGTCATCGATCTGTTTCTATACTCGAAGACGTTTTACATTGGGTAGACTAGACAGCTGGGTGACTCCATTTGTTTGTTTCTCTGTTTTTCACTTTTCATTTGGATGTGGACACTGCATCATAGTTTCAGCTGCAATCTTCTCTAAATTCCTACCATGAATACAAATGAATCCCTAGTGTCCCTTACCTCTGCAAATGAGGATTCCCCTCCTCCTTTCTCTTCAAAATACAGTAAAAGCTTTGTTATCAGGACAGCTGGGGGAATGGGGAGGTATTGATAGGCAACATGATATAGTGAAAGGAGTACCATCCTTGAAATCAGAAGGCATGAGTTCATGTCTCAGCTGGATCCCCGTACTGGCTGTATGTAATCATGGCCAAATTTACTTAACCTTTTGAGCTTCTGTGTGCTCATATGTAAAACACAGATAACAATACTTGCATTATCCTAGTTTATAGGGTTGCTGTTAGGAAAGTTTAGTATAACTGTAGGTTGTTATTCATCAATAATGCATGTTTCCCTAAGTAGATTCCCTCATTATCATTCCCCAACTCTTCCTCTTTGTACCTAGAATGAGTGAAGAGGCAGAAATTTTATACGTCCTTCAAAGAAAAGATTTAACTCCCTTCCCCCGTCAGCAGAAAAGTAAATATCCCTTTACCAATCTCTGTTCTGAGCAGCTAAGCCATCCAAGCTGATTACAAGATTGAGCCATTTATTGCAAGGATATTGGAAATGACAGTCAATGGCCAGATAACAGCCTAAACAGTGCTACTATTTCCTCTTCGCATGTCCAACACTCAATGCATAACTACTTCTTTGGGTTAAAATTTCCCTCTCTCTCTCTCCCACAGGGAGAGTTGTGGAGCCTAATTATCCCTAATAGGCTTATGAGATTATTGGGGTTACCCATTGTTCCCTCCTTCTAAGGTTCCTAAGGACACCTGTGAATAGTTTTTGTCTGATTTCTGAACCTTAAGAAAACTACATACTCTAGAAGATGAAAAAAATGGGAGAATAAAGAAGAATAAGCTGGGGTGCATTCAGAAGGGAAGCATTTATTAATCACACGATGATAGCCAAGACAAAGGGAGAGCTATGGGTAATGGAAAGAGTGCTGGATTTGGAGGCTTATGTTCGAGTCTCAACTCTTAGATTGAACAGCTGTGTGAACTCAGGCTGGTCACAACCTCTTGATGTCTTAATTTTCTCATCTGTGAAGTGGAGATAAACACATTCATGCTATCTATTTCACAGGGCTGTTTGTTGTGAGGAGCATTTTGTACGTACTAAGGTAGTACAGAAACTCATTATGTTGCATAGACATCCAAAGAAGGGTAACCCACATAGAGAGCAGAGCAAAACTTAAGGGGGTAGCAAAATTACCTGTAGCAAAACTTAAGGGGTTCTACATTTTCAGGCTAGTCTTAGCAAAGTCTAATTTTGCTTTTAAATGATAACAGTGTGATAATAATAATAGTTAGCATTTGTATAATGTTTTAAGGTTTGCAAAGCACTTGACAAATATTATCTTATTTTTATCCTTGAAATAATCCTGTTAATATCCCTATTTTACAGATGAAGAAACTGAGGCAG